TGGGCGTGCGGTGCAGAACCTGCCCTTCCCAGCCTTCCTCCGGCCTGGGGTGACCCCAAGGGGCCAGGCGTGCAGAGCGGCCTGCCGCAAGGGCCCGTGGAGGCCCCTCCCACAGTCCCCACCTGCGACGTGGTCAGTGTTCCTGGGCAGCCGGACTCGCGGGTCTGACAAGCCCCCCTTGGGCCTCTGAAGTCTGCTGACACCGTGACAGCTATCCCCAAGCATTTTGGCACGCTCAACACAAATGTGGCTGGGAGTTAAGCCCCACTATGTGTCCTGGGCTCTGCTACCGTGTGACCTCGTACAAAGCCCTGGACTTCTCTGTGCCTCATTAGATTTACCTAGAAAATGAGTCATAGTAGTATGTACCTTATGAGGTTGGTCAGAGTGGTTAAGGACCAAGAACAGCACTGACCAGAGCAGAAGGTCAGTGAATGTTGTTGGCTAGTAGGATTGCTCCATGAGCTTCGGTCCCAGGCGGCCTGGTTCTGGCCAGCTCGTCTGCAAGAGCAAGGGCAGCTTCGCTCTTGGTTGCCATTGCTCCATCCCTCCCTCCTCGGTCCTGCTCAGGAGAGCATGCTGGGAAGCAACGGAGAGCGATAGCCTTGGATCTGGCCTTAATTCATGTTTTTTTAAAAAGTCACTCACAAGCTTTGAGACCTTAGTGACAATTAGCTACGAGGGACCATGCCTGAAAACTGTGGCTTTAACACACCTGAATCTTGGAGCCTGCCCTTTCCTGGCCTCCCGATTCTTTTGCACAGTCCCTAGTGACTTCAGGGGCCAGGCAGGCAGACCGGCAGCAGGAAGGAAGGTTCCACACAGGCTCCAGGAGCACAGGGGCTGGCAGACTGGCTGGGAGGCCTGGCCTCTGCGCTTGCAGCCCCAAGCTGGAGTGATCAACAGCAGTTTGGAATGACTGCTCCGGCCGCTCCTGACCAGGCCCCTAGCCTGGCTCGAGAACCCTTGGAAAAGTCAGTTTGCTTCTGTGGTGCTGGCTTTGTACCTCCAAAATTAAGTTGCCAATAAAGCCAGGGGCAGAAATACCTAAGGGCAGGCTACGGAACATCTGAGCATCGGCCCTGTGCCCGGACACCTGGATGGCCTATCTCTTAGAGATCTAGGCCTCTGCAGGCCCCTGCGTGAGCTGAAGCTGACCTGCCCAGGTCACACACCTGGGCATGGGGGAGCCCGTGCTCACCCTAGCATTCGGGCTGCTCTCTGAACTTCGCCTGTATTTGCCCCACTGCTGACAAACGAGGCTGTTTCCGGTGAAGTCTGGGTGGACATTTTTTCTTTTGAGAAGTTGCATATTTACTTAAATGTGTATTAGGAAAAATAAAGCAAATTTGATATAAGAGCTACAGGGTTTCCATTTTCATAGCTTTATTTTAAGTTGAAGAAGCGTGCTGACTTAAGCAGATTTGGTGTATGAGGGGGGTAACTGCCATGAAGAGGCACCTGGGGTGAACAGGGGAAAGGCATTGTTGAGAACCGCCCCCCTCCAAGGTCTCCCTCCCACAGATGTGTGCTCCTGCCGGCAGGTGTCCCTTGAAAGGCAGCTAGAAGATTCTCTGGCCCTGCTGTCTTCATATTTCGCCAAACTATAGAAGACACGCAAGGCCCAACCGACCTTGCAAAAGGCTAATGTGGCCTGTGTGGGAGAAGGTGAAGGAGCCCCTCACGGTGGAGGTGAGGTGAGGAGAGGGGGTAGGTGTGAGTGGAGGGGGTGCTGTGCAGAGGAACACGCTGAGAGGCCACCTACTCTCCGTCTCTGGTCAGCTGCCCCCACGCATGGCCCGCTCAGGCAGCCTCCTTGATTCCGGGCGCAGGGCGTGCTGACCCGCGATGCTTTCTCAGAATCATGGAGATCGGGATGTCCGAGAAAACGCTCTGAGTGGCACACGGGCCTGTGCTGAGTGGAGGCCACTCGGGCTGTGCCCACACCGCCCACCAGCCCGCCAGCCTCGGGAGCCCTGCCTGCAGCCAGGCTCGGGTCCCCCTCGGGCGCTCAGCATGCCCGAAGGGGAGAAAGGCCACCACCGGCCCCTTTACAACCAGACGGCAGCAACCCAAGCAGGAGCTGTGTGGGCCTCAGCTCCGCCAAAGCTGACCCGGGACAGCAGACAGCCAAGTCGCAACTACTGACTCTGTCTCCGGCTGGTGCCTGAGCTCAGCCAGCCCTCCCCGCGGCCCCAGGGCCAGGCCCCACGGCCCTGCCCGCCTCCCTGAGGGGCACAGCCAGGCTCAGCTGGCTGCCTTTCTGGCCCCAGGTCTCTGGGAAGAAGCTGAAGCAGGATTTTTGCATCTGGCCTGTTGGGCCCAAGAGCCCACACCCAGGGCAGTTCCTTGACATTATACAATTAGCACATATGATCGCCTCTGCCCGCCAGCCGCTGAGTGGTTCAAGGGCACGCTTCACCACCAGTGACCTTCAGCCTCTCCCTGCAAGAGTACCCCACCAGCTGGGAGGCCCGTGGTCCCCAGGCGTTCCGTGGCCTTGCCCCTGCAGACCAGTTCCCAGGGGCCGCTTTCCAGCGTGGCCAGCGGCTAGAAGGCAGGGGTCAGGAACGGGGTCTGGGGCAGGACCAGCCTGCACACAGTGTGGGGTATGCGGGGTGTCTCACTCCTGACCCCCGTTTGTGGCTCCTTCCCCACCCAGGGGCGACTCCGCAGGTGGTGATAGGAGACTGATGTCTTCGCAGCCTTGAAAATGGCTCAGAGCAGCTTCCCAGAGGCAGAGTTCTCCAGTAGGTCTGGGGTTCGTGACCGAAATCCTACAGAGATGCCCCGCAAGGGGGTCATCAAGTGGGATCTGCCAGTACAGATGTGGCTGGCCCTTAATCCTCTGTTCAGAGCAGTGCTCTTCAAACCTCCCCATGCACACCAACCGCCTGGGCCGAGTCAGCAGGCCTCAGTGGGCCCGAGGCTCTGCATTTCTGCCAGGCTCCCAAGGGAGGCCCATGCTGCTGGTCACACTTCTGGCCACACTTCTTTAGAGTTGGGCCATTTTCGTTTCAATGGTCACGAAAGGGCCCAGTGCGAACCTGCTGGAGCCCAGCCGAATGGGGCATTTCCTTTGGGGAGGGAGGGGGTGCAGGGGGCAAAGGGTCAGGAGGCAGCTCCCCCAAGGCACAAGCCCAGCAGGGAAACAGCTGCCAACCCTGAGCAGTCCTGGGCACGCCCCCACCCCGCAGGCCCTGGACCCTTGGAAACTAGGCCTTTCATCTCTCAGTTCAAACTCGGGGGAGCTCCCTCCTTTGCTCCCCTCCCCATCTCAGAGCCTCCCAAGAGTGGTGATGGCAGCTCCGCCCACCACCCCCAGGGGGCGACCGAGGTCATTCTGGGGCTGCCCTTGCACCCGAGAGGTAGGCCTTCCACCCCAGGCAGGGTCCACACAGGGGTGAACTCCTCCGGGCCCTCGCTCCCCTGAAGTCCCACTGATCCCGTTTCTCAGTGGTTTGGAGAATGTTCCCGTTGCTATCACCTAGGACTAGGGACAGACCTGGAGAGGTGTGAAGGTGACACTGGCCAGATGGGGTGGTGGGCAGTGGGCACCAGAGGGAGAGTGTCTGCCTCAAAGTCCCGCTCTGTCCCCTACCAGTAGTTGTGGGAACTTGGCTCTGCCTCACTTTCCTTATCTATGAACTGGAGGTAGCACCCACCTTAGAGAGTTGCCAAGGGTTGAACGAGAGGATGCACTTGGTCGCCTGGGACCCCATGGGCGCTCAACAAACGGGGGCCCTGACAAAGGTCTCAGAGGGGGATAAACACCTCCACCCCCGTGAGGTAAGAGGTTAGAAGTCACAGGCGGGGACAGGGAGGGGACAGGAAGGACACTGGACTGGATGGGAGTGTCCCTTCCCCCACCTCGCCCTCGTCCTCATGCTAGAGCCCTGGCTGGGCTCTGCCCCCCACCTGGATTTGGACGCGCTGAGTGTGCATACAGCTGTTTTCAGTGCACGGACCACCCAATCCTGCAGCCCACCCGGATCGGCCATGACTGGCTGGGCGTCACACTTCCCGAGGGCACCCGGGATGACTTCCCCCACCACCACACTCACTGTCTTTTACTGGGGAGGATACGATGGACTGAATGTGTCCCCCCCAGATTCCTATGTTGAAGCCCCCACCCCAATGTGATGGTACTTGGAAAGGGGGGGGCCTCTGGGGGATGATTAGGTTCAGATGAGGTCATGAGGTGGATGCCCCATGATGGGATTAGTGTCCTTCTAGGAAGAGACACCAGAGCGCGGGCTCACCCTCGGCCACGTGAGGACACAGCAAGGAGGTGTGAGTTCGAGAGCTTAGTTAGAGAGCTGCCACCAGGACCCGACCATGCCTGGCACCCTGACTTTCAGCTTTGGGAACTACAAGCCTTGCCCCGTCTTTCCTCCCCTTCCTGAGCCCTCCTGACTGCCCCCCTGCAGAAGCCAGATCACTGGAGACATTCGCTTGGCCAGGGGCCAGAAGACCAGGTGGACTCGGCTTCTGCTATTCCATTGTCCCCTCTCCTTGAAAGGACCTGTGGTCACCGAGGGGTGACCTCGGCTGGGATGACTCTCCCAGATCTTGAGGGGGACAGGCATGGAGGAGGCGGTGAAGAGAGCTCTCATCCCTTGTTTGCCCTCCCCCCCACCAGCCCCTGGGATCCAGTCTCCTCCTCCTGCTGCGGGGCCCCGCCTTCTCTCCCGCAGCCATCCCTTCCTCTCTGGTGTCTGAGGCGCCCCACGATGCCTCTTCCACCCAGACATTTCCTGAGAGATGGCGGAATCAGAAACTTTGGGTCCTGTAGCACAATTTCAACAAGTTCGCTTTTGCTCTTGTTAATGAATAAAGGAACAGACCTTGGGTCCCGTGACACAAAGAAAACGAGAGCACTTGCAATTTCCCCACCCACCCAGTGCACTGGGTCAACAAGGCGGCCGGTGACAGGTTTTGTGTCACTGGGCAATGCCACGCCGGAGATTCTCGGGAACCGGGGGACCTCACTCTGGGAGGCGGTGCTGGTGGGGAGGGTTTAAAGGTATGTGCTCTAGAGGCAGATGCTCACGGTCCAATTCCAGCTCTGGTGCTCAGTGCTGTGTGGCCATGGGCAAATCCACCAACCTCTCTGAGCTCAGTGTTGCTCTCTGTGCCACGGAGATGCGTCAGGACTTTCATCAGTAGCTTCAGGGACCCGTGGAGCTGATGTAAGCAAACCCTGAGAACACTGGAAGGAAGCTCAGTGGAAGTCAGTTTTGTGTTAACTTGGCTCGCCTAAATAGTAATCTGTGGGGGAGACTCAGGTCTGCCTAACAGCTAATGTGTGCTGAGCACTTACTATATGCAGCACATTGTACAGGTATCTCCATTAATCCTATGACGGCCCTAAGGTTATTTGTTATCCCCATTCAGCATCCAGGCAAACTGAGGCCTAGCGGCATTACATAGCCCCCTCCTCCTTCACCTTAGTTACCTCCACACACACCAGGCTGAGCCCATGGGCTCTGGGCCACAAAGACAACGAAGACGAGACTCTGCCCCTCCGGGCGCTGACGGGGCAGGGGCGGCGCGCGCATGTGTACGTGCGGGGGAGCGCAGTGGGGGGGGGGGCAGGGGGTGTGACCCACAGGACACACAGGCTTCTCCAAAAAGGAAATAATGATGACAATAATGACGCCCCGATCTTCCCTGGCCCGTGTGGACTGCAAACCTCTCGAACGCCAGATCCTCACGGCTACTCTGAATTGGCGGGCAAGAATTTTTTTCTCCATTTGATACGTGCACACACCCCTGGCTCACACAGCCAACAGGCTTTGGGGGGCTCTTTTCTCTGCTTTTCAAAGTGCTTGTGCTCTACCTTTCGGGGGACACCAGCTGAGAAGGATCCAGGTCCTGAAATTCCCAACAGCGGAGATGTGTTTTCTTTGGCCACACCCAGTTCCTGACGTCGGGCCATCGCCACCCCTAGGTTCTCAGGTCAGTGACCACCCACCGAATGGACGGTGAGCCCTCGTTTAAGGCTCTCGGCCAAGCACTCCCACCACAGATGGAGGAGCTAGAGCTCAGGGTTGGGGGATGGCTTTCAAGAGGCCAGGGACTGGCTGGGACCAGACTTGCGGGGCTCCCGTCCCCCCCCACCCCTGCCTTCTCTCCAGCCCTCCTGGTCCTGTCTGCCTAAAGTGGTCATGCATGAGCTGTCATTTCCTGGGGGTCACACAGAAGGGAATGCCAGGGCTGGACAGTCCCCACGGGTGGAGAGCCGAGGGGCCCTCGACCCCCTGTTGGAGTCATCCTGCCGCCCCATGTCTACTCCACTAAATCATGGGCTGGAGGCCACCCCAGGTCAGGAACCTGAATGTAACCTGGCCCAGCATCAAAAGGAAAAGCTCTTGGCTGCAGTGTCACCTGCCAAAGAAACCACAGAGGGGCTGATTTTTATGTCCCGTATCTTAAAAAAAAAAAAAAAAGAAAAGAAAAAGAAAAAGCATGAGACCTTAATTCCAGGCAGGAAGCTTTGGACTTTTTCTGATGTGAACATCCAAGAAAGGACGCAAGGAGAGGAAAGTGGGAGAGGTTGAAACAAATCTTACTGCAACTCATGCAGGCAGGAGAGGAGACCAGGCTCTGCAGGGTGAGCCGCCCTTGGTGCTTTTGGGGTGACAGAAGGTCATGGCTGCCCCCTCCCTGCCTGGTTCCTGCAGACAGCAAAGTGGCCCCTTCTGGCCCTCTGGCCACCTCTGGATGGATCCAAGACCGCTAATAGGCACAGGGCCGGGGGATCGAGAACCTGACTGGAAGTCAGTTCCCCTGAGCTTCATTTCCATCTTAGCCACTGTGTACTTGGGCAGGGCGGCTCCTGACTCGTGCAATTGGGGCCAGAATTCCTTGTCTCTCTGTGCCATCGACTTAATCAAGATCACTTTATCTAATGATCACTTTGTGACCAAACTATGTTGGCTTCTCAAGATGCGCCATGGAGTTTTAGAACCCCGGGGGCCTGAGGGACACCCAGGGTCGCTGGTCACCGGTTTCCACCTCCAGCCAGCCTCCACCACCACCCGAAGTCTGTGGGGGCAGGACCGGCCCCTCCTGTTCTAGATAGCTCCAGCTGGGGACCTGCATCTGCCTCCAGGGATATCCCAGGGGCCTCGGCTCTTGTCTAGAGCCACACAGAAAAGGCTCACATGGGACCACCCCGCAAACACTGAAGATGACCCCTCAACCCTTGCGTGTCACCTTCCTCAGCCTCTGGAGGCTCTGGCCCTCACTGGATGGTCTGCATCATCCATCGACGCCCCAGCTGAGGGGTCACCTCCCAAGAGCAGGGGCCCCTCATCTTCCCCCACCCTGCACTCAAAGCATCTTAGCAGATCTGATGCCTTTTTAAAGCCCCCCACCCAGGGCTCTGCTAGGTCTCCGGGGGAGGCTGGGGGCTTGCACGTGCCCCGGCACCCCGCCTATGTAACATTTCACCTTTGTGGGGGGAGGTGGGCTCCGGACTGCCTCCTTTGGGGGCTGAGACGTGCCCGCGAGAGGAATCAGAGCCTCACAGCCAGCCTGACTTAATTCCTTTCCTTTCAATAGCAACCCAGCGCCTCTCGGAAACAGCAAGCCGGGGGCGGGGAGCTCGGAGCATCAGCCGTACCCACCCGGGCAGGAGGAAAATATTTATGCACCAGCGCGGCGTTAGCTGCTTTCAGAGACCTCCTTTGAACTGTTAATCAAGCCCAATCTTTCGGAATAATAGGCTGATTATTACCGCCCTGTTTGCATAACAAAGAAGCCCAATAAAACTTATTTCACTGTGCGCCGAGGGGGTGTGAAGGATCGCCTTGAGAAACGAGTCTCAGGAATGCGGTGAGCCGCTCCAAGGCCAGAACCCAGGAATAAAGACAATGCAATTTGCCACCAAGAAAAGCCCAATAGACCAATAAATTACCCGCGTGCAAAGGGGTTAGATCGGGTTTCAGTGGCTGTGTAGGAGGGGTGGGGTGAGCCGGCAGAGGGGAAGAACCTGCCTCCTCTTAAAGGGGTAAGGTTCGTTTGCAATACAAGCCCTGTGATCAAGTTGGTTTTGTCCAAGGTGGCGGGGGGGGGGGGGCGGGGGCCCCGAGCAGGATAACTGTCTGGATTCATTTACTCGCTGGAAGTTCTGGACCCTACCAGGTGCTTCATGCTGTTCCTGCAACAAGCCTCCGTGGGTTTCTCTGCTCAGGTGGAGGCAGCTACCAAACTTCTGTCAACCAGGTCTGGAAGGGCAAGTGGGATTTGGCAGGTGGCGTGGGACAGAGGTCTGGAAGCACAGCGGCCTCCAGAACAGCGGAGGTTGGCTGGAGCCGAAATACTGGTTGGTTGCTGGTAGCAAATGTCACCGAGCTCCAAAGTGCTTTCCTGTGCTGTGTGAAGGGGTGGCCAGGGCACTCCAAACCCCTTTCCTCTTGTCCCCAGCTCCGTTAGATACCACCATAAGTGGGCGCTGGCCTCGGGCTGTTTCCATCACCCTATCCTCCTCGGAGACCCGGCCCCCCTCCCAGTTCCTCTTCCCTGGGTCCCCCACGCCGCACGGGTGGAATAGGCTTCCTGCGGTGTGCGTGCCTCCGTGGTCCCAAGTGGCCTTTCCGAAGGTGCTTCCACAAGCGCCCCAGTCCCCTATACTCAGGTCCCTCTGTGCAAATACCTCCGTGTGGTTCTGTTTTCCTGACTGGACCCTGCCGCACCAGCCTAAGGATTTCAGACTCGATGTGGCTGATTGTGGGGAGCCCCCCGCCAATGTTCAGTAGATGCACGGCATGATCAGAAGGTGGCTTTAGTCCACCGAAGCCCGAGACCTCCCGTTGCTGTCCCCCGCTCGCTCTGGGCCGCGGAGGCATGGGGGCTCCCCTCTTATCATCAAGCTGTGATGGGGGGCCTGAAGGAGGTGGGGAGGGCCCCCAGCATGGGACTCTGGCTTTGGCAGGAGCAGTGGGAGCAGCAGGCCATTCTCCACCCTATTCTGTCCCCTCAGCACGGAACCAAGGCCCGGGCAGTGAACGGAGCTGGTGCCAGTATGTGGCTCACTCTGGCCTGGGCAGTGTCCTGGAGTCTCCTTGAGTTCAGAAATGCCCGGAACCCGCCCGTCTGTGTCTCTCCCGCAGGAACTGCACCGGATCATCGTGGCGTCAACATCAACGTGTTTGACAGCGGGTACCTCAAGGGACACACCCAGGTGACAGCCTGGGTATTCTGGCAGGTGCAGCCGACCCTACCTTACTTAACCTGCAGCAAGCCAGAAGTGGTCGTCTTTCCTAAAAAGCATTCCTCCCCAGTGCAGCCCAAGATCCTCCCACCTAGCCTGCCACTCCCTTGAAGGCCCTGGGATCTTTTCTTAGAGCTTCCTCCAGGAACCGGCCTGTAGGAGAAGGAGTCAGGCAAGAAGAAGTTTCACAGAGAATCTCAAGTGACCGGAGGAAGGGGCGGCGGGTAGGCCGGGGTGCCGGGGGTTAACTCAGTGCCCCCCACCCTGCGGGGAAAGGGCCCCATTGCCACCCACTGAGCCGAGGCAGGAAGCACCGCCCCCTCTCCCACCCAGCCAGGGCTGCTCCGCCCCAGCCACGCATGCCAAGTTGCTACACGAAAGCACGCTGAGTGCCAAGGAAAAGGGCACACCTCAGCTTGCCAAACTGGACACCCTCCCCCCGCTCCCACTGGGGCCATGCGGGGCTAGATCAATGGCAAACAGGACATTCAAAAAAGCACCTGTGTTCGCCTCCGGCCTAAAGGCCACAGGCAGGCCTGGCCGTCAGGCGGCTGAGGGCTCCTCTGGATAAGAGGGACCCATGCCAGCCAAGGGCTGAGCGGGGGGTGAGATGCCATGCCCTGAGCATCTTGTCTAGGGCACAGAGCTGAGCTACCCCGGGTTCCACAAAGGAGGGTGGTTATGGGCAAAGACACCACTTTTCTGATATAAATGAAGCTCTCAGGTGAGCAATTTGGTCTTGGTGCTTTGAGGCGTAACCCCTTTTCCTGAGTCTAGGGGCTGGCTCTCATAATGATAATTTTCCATCCTGGCTTTTCCTCTAGCAACCCTGGGTTCATCTGCTTGGCCGCTCCAGGTCCAAATTCATTTTTTTTTTTTTAAGATTTTATTTATTCATTGGACAGAGACACAGCGAGAAAGGGAACACAAGCAGGGGGAGTGGGAGAGGGAGAAGCAGGCTTCCCGCCGAGCAGGGAGCCCGATGTGGGGCTCGATCCCAGGACCCTGGGATCATGACCTGAGCCAAAGGCAGACGTTTAACGACTGAGCCACCCAGGTGTCCCTCCAAATTCATTTGAAGTGGCTTTGTCACCCTCACCACCATCCGCAGGCTGGCCTCACCACCTCCCCCCTTGCAGTGGGAGGGCAAAGGCATGCCAGCTGGGCACATGCCCGGCTGGCGCACACATGTGTGAGCCTGTGTTCATGGGACATTCCTTAGCATGGGGAGCAATAATGGGCTCCTTTCTGCAGGGACCTGGGTGCAGACAGATCACTTTAATAGGCGTCTCGGTATTCCGACTGCTTGGGTGAAATGGTGCATGAAACGGATAAATAAGCAAAACCCAAAAGACATAAATTTGACTTGGGAAAATTTGCACAATGTCAGCCCTGCCAACTTGTTTTCCTGACCTACGGCTGGGTGGCATCTTCTTCTTTGAAATACTAAGCCAGGGATGGATAGGGAGCAGAGAGGGCCCTTGGGAGGAGGCAAAAACGCTAGGTCCGCAGAAAATGCGGTCACTCTTCATTCTGCTATCGAATCTCTCCCAATTTTGTTCCTTATTTTTCCTCACCTTAAAGCCTTACGTGCTACACAGCACAAACTCTCATATGCCACAAAACAAACTTAATGAGCGTGTTTATTCAAAACAGGGGATATGGGTAAGGGCAGGGGTCTGTGTTCTCCCCCTGGCTCTGTCACTAGCTAGCTGTGTAATGTCAGGCAATCTCTCTGACCCTCTGTCTCCTCTTCAGGACAGTGGGAGTGATGACGTCCATGAGGAAGGTGTGGTGATCTCATGAGGTGTTGTATTTAAAGCATTTGGCAGAGCGCCTGGTATACTATGGCCACTCAATAAATGAAAAGAGCTTTAAAAATTATCGTTCTCCATTCAGGTGATCATACTTTGGAGAGAACAGTATAAGGTATTATGTCTCCAAGGATGTGCATAATCTTAAGTAGTGATGGAAGTCTGTGGGAGGTCGGAATTTGGGTTATTTTCATTTACTTACTTATCCTTTTTGGTTTTTAGATTTAAAAATGAGTATTGCTGGGCGCCTGGGTGGCTCAGATGGTTAAGCGTCTGCCTTCGGCTCAGGTCATGATCCCGGGGTCCTGGGATCGAGTCCCACATCGGGC